TATGGGGAAAGAGAACAGGCTCTGTCTGCCCTTTCCTGATCTTTCTGACCCTCAATTTTCATGGCTGTAAAATAGAGAATAATCTCAAACCCCATAGGCTCACCTGAGAATTAGAAGCAATAGCTGTACTACTGACTTAGCTCAGTGCTTGGCAGCACATCACTGGCACTAAAAGAATGGCAGCATTCTTTTACCAGAATTCTTTTACTATGGTATATAGTTTCAAAAAATTTTAGTCTTTGGGCTAGAACTAAAGTTATTTACTGCCTTTTTTTTTTTTTTTTTTTTTGGTTTGGGGGCCCTCCCCTTTTTTGGCCTCTCCCGTTGCGGAGCACAGGCTCTGGACGCGCAGGCCCAGCCGCTCCGTGGCATGTGGGATCCTCCCGGACCGGGGCACGAACCCGCGTCCCCTGCATCGGCAGGCGGACTCTCAACCACTGCGCCACCAGGGAAGCCCTACTGCCTTTTTTAAGGTGAAAATTAGGTACTAATCGAATACCTATGATATGCATTTTAAGTCATTTTTTCCAGTAATGATGAGAGATTTTAGATTAGTCATTAGTCCTACCTGATGTTCTCTGTGAGAAGAATGGATGGCCCTGTAGGTCAGGAATATATGCTATGCCGACAGTTTGGGGTATTATCAATGATGAACAATTGGCTGAGTTAATATTGAGACAGAATACTATTTCCACTAAACATCTGACACATACATAGTAAAGCCTTAGTCCTGGCATCACCTGGGAGCATGCTGTAATGCAAATTTTGAGGCCCATCCCCTGCGTACAAAATTGGAATCTGCCATTGAACAAGATTCCCAGGTGATTCAAATGAACCTTAAACTGTGAGAAGCACTGGTAAGGAACAGGCTCTGAGCAGAGAAGATACAATCACCAGGTGTATATGTAAGTGAGGCGGGAAAGATGAGTCAGGCAGGACCATAAAGAGTCTAACTTATAATGACAGACTGGCATATACACGTGTATAAACACACACACAACACGAACACAGGCTTAGATCAGTGGTTCTCAACTGGGGGTGATGCTGCACCCCCCATAAGATACTGGCCGATGTCTGGAGATATTTTTGGTTGTCACAACTGGGGAGATGTTACGAGCATCTACTGAGACCAAAGATGCTGCTAAACATCTTACAAGGCCCTCCACCATAAAGAATCAGTTGGCCCAAAACGTCAATAGTGCTGACGTTGAAGAAACCCTAGCATAGATTATACAAACATATTAATTGGAAAAGGCACAAAGGCATACTAATTGGAACTATTCATGGGAAAAGGAGCAATAATTTGACCTCACAGTTCTGAGGGGAAGAATTTCATATCTGGACATCCCAAGGTCTATGCTGCTTTCAAGATTATGAGTACCCTGGTTAAAAGCTCTCAAAATCACTTATCTGCTGTTACTAGCAAAACCAGAGTCAATGATAATCTGTATTAGCATAAAAAGTCAGTCAGCATCAATGCCTAGAGCCTGTTAATATGCAAAGAAAAATAATGGAGACAGAAAATTGTTACTGTTTGGTTTAAAACCCAATCCTACTGAAGAAGGAAGCTGCCTTAGGACTCTCAAACTCCACACCCTCCTTACCAAAAAGATACCAAGTCTATACCCTCATTGTACACGTCCACAATCCCTTGTCTGCAATTTCAAAGATCTAAAAACTACATAAAGTTTTTGCTAAATTGTGGCAGCAAAACTTCTTATCTGAACTCATTTGGCAGCAAAACCTGAATGGATGTGAGGTTATTTATTATCTTAATTATCCCACTCAGTGTAACTATTCACATGGTTCACTGTAGAAGTATTCAGAGGTTTGCTTATAGGAGGTGGTGCCACAGGCCTTACTGAAGCTGTTATATAATATATGGTGGATGCTCCTTACTGCCCTTCTAAAATTTGAAAACTCTAGAATTTTGGAAACATTTGGCTTTGGAAATTCTAGATAAGTGATTGTGGACCTCAAATAACTAAAATGCAGTCAACTCTCAGCAAATATTTGCTGAAAGCATTCAAATATATATTTGAAAGAAAAAAAAATAACCTAGTCAACTATATGTGTGTATATACACATAAACACACACACTTGTATTATACACGCACATAAATATATATATATATATATATATATATATATATATCCCTGCATTAGTAGTTAGCATTGTGGCAATTAGCTTCCTTGTTTAGGGCACTGTGCACAACACGCCAGGCTTGCAGCTTCAAATCTTGTAAGACCAGCTAACTTTACAAAGAAACACCTTTCTTCAAGACTATAAATTAACCTCAAACTTTATCCTTCAAAATGCTTCTGGATATAAGGCAAGAAATAGTGAATAATTTAGGATCAACCCATTCACCATACCAAAAGTGCTGATTCCAATTCAGTAGCATAACCAGTGTCTCTGCCTCTCTCTTTTTTTCTCTCTCTCTCATACATACATCACAACCCTGCAATGTGTAATAGCATTACAAGCACCCAACTGGCTCTGGAAAGGTTCCATCAGGGCCTCCCTCCTATCCTGGATTCACATTGGTTGATGGTTGGGGGTATAACTCTTTCTGCATATAAATTCCTATTTTCCTCCCTGAAAGGCTTTACCTGACTAGCCTGTTGACTGTCCTAAGGTGTGCTCATGGGACTGGTCCAGGGGAATAGCAGGTTGTTAGGAAACAAGTAGTAACGAAATGCTGAGAGCAAATGTATTCGAATTGTCAGTTTCATGTGTCTGTGTAAGATGGGGCTTGGAAACAGATGGGGATACCAGCTGATTTTCAGAAACCATGAAAAAGATAAATGAACTTGCACCATGCTGAAAAAGATGCATCATGCTTGCTGCTGGAAACACTGAACACAATGGAAACTGAAGCGTCTTCAGAATCTTTTTTGCCAGTTATGGCAATGCTAAGATTCACTGATGACCATTCAATTTTAATGTTCTTTTCATTATACTTCAAACAGTCTTCCCTCCTTCGTATCCTAAGAAAACATACCTTCTTCTCATGAAAATGAAATGGCACATGGTATTATTTAATAAGTTGAAAAATCCTGAAAAGTTTTTGTGAAACTGTTCTCTAATAAAATTCTAAGAACTGTGATGTAGAGAGGGGAAAATATTTCGCTGCAGTACTGTTAAATACCATTCTAATGCTAAGGTGGGAGGAAGAAGCACTTTGCCAAAGTTTCTGTAACCACTTCACCACCAAAGCAGTTTCCCATGGACTCTGCCACTGGGTTGTGAAGTCACTACCTTTCGGGAGGGAGCCGCCGTGTTTCTCTTCTCAGGTTCCCATGTGTCTCAAATAGGGAGTGGGACAGAGCCAGAAGCCATGGGCAAGCCTCTTGCCAAGACTGTGGATGAGATCATCAACCACCCCACCCCGGCATCCAGACCAGCTTCTTCAGAATTTCACAGACCACAGCCCTTGGGCCAGCCTGTCAGGTTCTCAAAACAGGAAAAACTAAAAGTGGATCCTCCCCATAAAAAAGTTTGAGAGTTCTTTCATTATACAATTATTTTAAACACGTTCCTCTTGTGTAGTGTAATTACAGAAGAGTGGATTAGAATCTCAAAAAGGACTCTTATTTCCAAGAAGAATACCCCAAGTTAACTTCCTAGTAAAATGTCCTCTCAAATCCTGAACAACTTTAAAAAGAAAGTTCTGTGGCAAGGAGTAAAGACATGCATTGGATAGTTAACTCATTCCTAGTAGAAAAGATATATTAAAGTATTATGAATTCTCTATGCTTGATCAGAAAACAAATATTTATAACTTCTAATCCATGACAAGTCCTTTAGTTCAATTTTTCAGGGATTCCATCCTATTTTAGCTTCCGTATAACAATACTGCAAAGCTGTAATTACATCCTCTATAATCAGCCCATTACCAGTGTAATTAAGGAGTGCCACAAATTTAAAACTACGACCTCAATACTGAGGGAAAAAATGTGTGGAAGAGACAGTTTATATTGCAGGTAAAATGTCCTCCTGTTTTGTTGACAAACTTAAGATATAAAGAAAAAAAATAACATGTTATCATAGAGTCATCATTCAAGAGGGACTCATTATGTTCCTGATAAGAATTTTTCCTCCATCATTTCTAACATGTCACTTATCAAGCTCTTTTGTATCAAATCCCATGCTCTTCCCAAGTGTTATGAACACTCTGAACCCCTTTAGGTGCCTGTCAATTACTCTCATTCAACTACCATCCACTGTGGGGACAGAGATATATGTGAATTGATTCCTGACACAATGTCAGGCTAGTGTAAACCAAATTTAAACTGGCAAATAGGTCCATCAGTAAAGTGCCTAACTTCTAAGCAATGTGAATAAATTTTATCTTAACTAAGAATCAGGAAGCTGATCACCAAACATTAATGTATCACGTAATGGTTCAAGCCAACCATCTGATAAATATAATAATAACCACATTAATAAAATGGATCAACAACACTTATCAAATGCTTATTATGTGCCAGCACTGTGAGAATCTTAGACAAATTATCTCATTTAATTTTCACAGATGGCCCCTGAAATAATACAATTATTGCCTCCATTTTTCATAGAGGAAACTGAAGCCCTGGGGATGTTAAATAACTGCCCAGGTTAATTAGTTGGTAAGAGTAGGGCCAGTCTGGAAGCTTCCTCCAACTGAATCTCAAGCTTGTGTCTGTTTTTACAGCCTTCAGGCTACAATGTCTACTGATTATACGTTACACAAGCAATTTAAACCAAATATTCTTGCCCTCCTGGTGAACTGCAACTGTTACCAATCAATGAGGGGTGAGAGGTAAGCAGGTAGTGAAAACAAAAAAAGCAAGACATCTGTTTAATCAAGATTCTCCTCCCCCATCAAATTCAGGAACTCCTTTCCATATACTGTATGAGTCGATACTGTCTTTCTAAATCACATGAATGTTTACTCACAGCTGACAAGTTACTAAAGCACCAGTTACAAAATAGAATGTGCTCTTGTATTTTTCAGATTAAAAAGGTTAATTGACCAAGAAACGGAGTCCCAGAAGAAGGAGGAGCAAGAAAAAGAGAAGAGGGTCACTGCCCTGAAAGAGGAGCTGACCAAACTGAAGTCTTTTGCTTTGATGGTGGTGGACGAACAACAAAGGCTGACGGCACAGCTTGCCCTTCAAAGACAGAAAATCCAAGACCTAACCACGAGTGCAAAGGAAACACATGCTAAACTAGCCCTTGCTGAAGCCAGAGTTCAGGAAGAAGAGCAGAAGGCAACCAGACTAGAGAACGATCTGCACACGCAGACCACAAAGTTTCACCAGAACCAAGAAACAATTATGGCGAAGCTCACCAATGAGGACAGCCAAAATCGCCAGCTTCGACAAAAGCTGGCAGCACTCAGCCGGCAAATTGATGAGTTAGAAGAGACAAACAGATCTTTACGAAAAGCAGAAGAGGAGCTGCAAGATATAAAAGAAAAAATTAACAAGGGAGAATATGGAAACTCCAGTATCATGGCTGAGGTGGAGGAGCTCAGGAAACGTGTGCTAGAAATGGAAGGGAAGGATGAAGAGCTCATAAAAATGGAGGAGCAGTGCAGAGATCTCAATAAGAGGCTGGAAAAGGAAACATCACAGAGTAAAGACTTTAAACTCGAGGTTGAAAAACTCAATAAAAGAATTATGGCTCTGGAAAAATTAGAAGATGCTTTCAACAAAAGCAAACAAGAATGTTACTCTCTGAAATGTAATTTAGAAAAAGAAAGGATGACCACAAAGCAGTTATCTCAGGAACTGGAGAGTTTAAAGATAAGGATCAAAGAGCTAGAAGCCATTGAAAGTCGTCTGGAGAAGACAGAATTCACCCTAAAAGAGGACTTAACTAAACTGAAAACATTAACTGTGATGCTGGTAGATGAACGGAAAACAATGAGTGAAAAATTAAAGCAAACTGAAGATAAGTTACAAGCTGCTGCTTCTCAGCTTCAAGTGGAGCAAAATAAAGTGACAACGGTTACTGAGAAGTTAATTGAGGAAACTAAAAGGGCACTGAAGTCCAAAACTGATGTGGAAGAAAAAATGTACAGTGTAACGAAAGAGAGAGATGATCTAAAAAACAAACTGAAAGCAGAAGAAGAGAAAGGAAATGATCTCCTGTCCAAAGTGAACATGTTGAAAAACAGGCTTCAATCATTGGAAGCAATTGAGAAAGATTTCCTAAAAAACAAATTAAATCAAGATTCTGGTAAGTCCACAATAGCATTACACCAAGAGAACAATAAGATTAAAGAGCTCTCTCAAGAAGTGGAAAGACTGAAACTGAAGTTAAAGGATATGAAATCCATTGAGGACGACCTCATGAAAACTGAAGATGAGTATGAGACTCTAGAACGAAGGTATGCTAATGAACGAGACAAAGCTCAATTTTTATCTGAAGAGCTGGAACATGTTAAAATGGAACTTGCCAAATACAAGTTAGCAGAAAAGACAGACTCCAGTCATGAACAATGGCTTTTCAAAAGGCTTCAGGAAGAAGAAGCTAAATCAGGTCACCTCTCAAGAGAAGTGGATGCACTGAAAGAGAAAATTCATGAATACATGGCAACTGAAGACCTGATATGTCTCCTCCAGGGAGATCATTCAGTTCTGCAAAAGAAACTCAGTCAACAAGAAAACAGGAACAGAGATTTAGGAAGAGAGATCGAAAACCTCACTAAAGAGTTAGAGCGGTACCGTCATTTCAGTAAGAGCCTCCGGCCCAGTCTCAATGGAAGAAGAATCTCTGACCCTCAAGTATTTTCTAAAGAAGTTCAAACAGAAGCAGTAGACAATGAGCCACCTGATTACAAGAGTCTCATTCCTCTGGAACGAGCAGTCATCAACGGTCAGTTATATGAGGAGAGTGAGGACCAGAATGAGGACCCTAATGATGAGGAGTCCGTGCTGTCCTTCAAATGCAACTCATCTACTCCCTGTCCTGTTAACAGGAAGCTATGGATTCCTTGGATGAAGTCCAAGGAGGGCCATCCTCAGAATGGAAAAATACAAACTAAACCCAATGGCAACTTTGTGCAACCTGGAGATCTAGTCCTAAGCCACACACCTGGGCAGCCACTGCATATAAAGGTTACTCCAGACCATGTCCAAAACACAGCCACTCTTGAAATCACAAGTCCGACCACAGAGAGTCCTCACTCTTACACAAGCACTGCAGTGATACCAAACTGTGGCACCCCGAAGCAAAGGATAACCATCCTCCAAAATGCCTCCATAACTCCAGTGAAATCAAAAACCTCTGCTGAAGGCCTTATGAATTTAGAGCAAGGCATGTCCCCAATTACCATGGCAACCTTTGCCAGGGCACAGACCCCAGAGTCTTGTGGTTCCATAACTCCAGAAAGGACAATGTCACCTATTCAGGTTTTGGCTGTTACTGGTTCAACTAGCTCCCCTGAGCAGGGACGCTCTCCAGAGCCGATAGAAATCAGTGCCAAGCACGCGATTTTCAGAGTCTCCCCTGATCGGCAGTCATCATGGCAGTTTCAGCGTTCAAACAGTAACAGTTCAAGTGTGATAACTACTGAGGATAATAAAATCCACATTCACTTAGGAAGTCCTTACATGCAAGCCGTAGCTAGCTCCGTGAGACCTGCCAGCCCTTCAGCATCACTGCAGGATAACCGAACTCAAAGCTTAACTAATGGGGCACTAAACAAAACAACCAATAAAGTCACCAGCAGTATTACTATCACACCAACAGCCACACCTCTTCCTCGACAATCACAAATTACAGTAAGTAATATATATAACTGACCACCCTCCCTTATTTGGTTTATACCGATATTATTGCAAGGAACTCAGTCCTTTTTAATTATCCCTCCACATCCCTCAAAAGACTGACTGAACTTGTACTTTGGGAAGGTTTATGCATGAACCGTCCAAGAGTATCTGAAACTAACTGTTGCCTGCATAGTCATATCAAGCGTGCACTTACTGTATATTTTTTCATTTACATACCTGTATGGAAAATATTTAGTCTGCACTTGTATAAATACATCTTTATGTATTTCATTTTCCATAACTCACATTAATTTGACTGCAACTTGTCTTGGTGAAATACTTTAACATTATAAAGCAGTAAATAATTTGTTATTTTTACCATTGCTTGCTGAATTTTCTTTTGGTCATTTTGTGTTCTTTTTTTTGCATGTATAATAGAATTTTATTTCCTGTTCATAATGTCTATTAATTCTTCCTTAAAAACAAACAGGACTTACTTCCCATATACAGTCAACTTCTGATCACATATTAGAGGAGGAGGAGGTAGTTGAAATAAATGAAATTTTATGGCTCTTTGATTTCAAAGTGAACTATAAGATCTCTCAGGAGCAAACTTCATGCTTGAGATGTATCTCAATATCCCTGGTGCCCAGCACAGTGCTTAGCACATGTTAGGAATTTAGTTACTTAATAAATGTTTACTGATAATCACTGAATAATATTAAATAATTTGCTTTTGTGAGCACATATGAGCTGATTGATGGTGAAAGTAAAAAGCTTTGAAATGTGATAGTAAGCCAGAAAAAGCACATTTGGAAATACAAGTTACCTTCACAATCAAGAGTTGACTGTATTTCTACCATAGATGAAAATCCCCTTAAAACATTTATGTCTACATCCAAACCTGGAATCAGCCACTAAGACATATGCTCTTGAACACTGCTTCAAAGCAAAAATGTCTTTCTTGTTACGTTTTCCTAGTAGGTTCCCAAAATAATTTGAATTACTTAAGGTAGGTGCTTCCTACCTTGTTTGTTTGCTAGTGGGCTGCATTCAGAAGCTTAAACTTAACTGTGTGTGTGTGGTTTTTTTAACCTCCCAACAAGCAAATAAAAACCAAAGATAATTACAATGTAAGTTATAGAAAAGGCATATTTTTAAAAAAATACAGTATGTTAGTTGAGGGAAGTTTCTCCTGTGATTATTGTTATGCCATTTTCAAGATAGGTGAGAAAAACTCAGTAATCCTTAAAAAAAAGCATCCTAGGAATGCTGGTACTCTGCTAATGGGACTCAGCATAATTTGTACTTCTGTAGCAGAGAACAGCTTTCAGAGGAACATTTTAAATTACAAATCTGGTCCCCAAGCCACATTCAAAAAAGATGATTTCAGACAAAGTAGCTCATTGCCATTTTCCCTTTTCCAACCTCATAACTGTTAATTTAGTGTGGTCAATTTCATTGCCAGTTATTGATTTTAAACACAATTCATTTAGACACCCAGGCAAACTGTGAAGATCTTTAGGAGTAAAAGGAATCTTTCACAATTATCCTCCTTTCCCTGCAAAATCAATTTCATGATAGCAAAGCAAGGATTTGTTGACAGAAACACTTCCATGGTGATGAACTGCAACACCAACGCTGTGGGCTTGCATCATCATTAAATAAATTTGGATGAAAGCTGAGGCTAGTGATGAATGAGAAAGCTTCTGTTTATACACATTTATCTTGGGAATTGGCAGTGACCCAACTGTATTACAAAATACATGATGGTCTAAATGTTTTCCAAAATTGTTTTTATTTTTAAGTCACCTTAGGTTAGAACTTTAGAAGAAACTACATACATCATTTTACATCTTTCAAAGTAGACATTGATAACATTGCTGCATGAGATGTCTTTCTAGATAATAAGAGTACATATAATGTTTTGGTGGGTAGTGATAAACTAATCATGAAATAATAAACAGAAACCAGAAAGAATTAAAGGACAAAGTCTTCCCAGCACTTCTTAAATTTTGTCACATAATGACACAAACAGAAAACACACTGGATACACACTGGATACAATGGATAAAGAGGCAGAGATGATCAGGGACTCCTGATCAGGGACTCCTGTCATCCCCAGGTTGCTCCTGTTGTACTGAAGGAAAGATCCATTTTTGGCACACCTGTAACTAATAGAGTTTGAGAGGCTCTGGGCTATTCATTAGTAGAACTGTTTTGTAAGGATTCAATTTCTTTTCTTTTGTGAGCCAGAGCAATTTTATACAATAAAGTTAATACCACAAGTCCTGTGCTCCATGATTAGGATGCACAAATTCTCATTTCATCATCTGCTCCAGATATTAACTGTAAATAGGCTTCCCAAGTAATTAACATCATTGGAAATTTACTGGACTTTCAAGGAACTGAACCTCTTTTAGAGGTTCCTCTACTAGGACTACTTCAGTGTAATGACTCATATCCACATCAAAATTTAGGAACACTGTCATATGAATAACATATATAGATTACTAAAAGTGCTACTAATTAAAGTTTATGGTAAAGAGAGCATCATCTCTGAAAAAAAGTACCTTCCCTTTTCCATAAAATCACACAAAGAATGACACATCCTAGATTTTTGGCCTTTAATTTCAAAAATAATTTTTTATAACTCTGCGTGTGTGTGCGCACGTGTGCATGTGTGTTGGGGAGGTTACAGAACTTTCTTTTTCATTCACATAAAATCATGGAAGAACCTTGAAAACTAGGAAGGAGAGAGGAAGTGACACTGGAAAATCTTCATATGAGATATGTGAAAGTGGAGGGTTGTATTCCTGAAGAAAAGAAAGCCTTTGAGAGGCTCACAGAAGACAAGACTGTTTCTATAAACATCTGAAAAAATACCTTCCTTTCATTTCATTTCATCTGAAGTCCCAGCTTCAGAGCCAAGATTCATTTTACTCAGTCCCCCTATCCCTTTAACTTTTTGAGCTGCAGCATTCTATCACAGATTTGAATGATTTTACCACATTCTTCTTCCCTTTTAAGAGCATTTGCAAAGCTTTCCCAAGGATGCCACTGCTCTCTGGGTCACCCCTTCCAGAAGGACAATGTGCATTACTATAGTTAGATCTTTACACACAAAGGAAAGTCTCTATAAGATGATGACAGGATTATATAAACTCTACCTAGAAGGTTTCTACAACTACATTTCACAATGCCAAGACATTAGGCATGGGGTCTTCATGACACCCAAAGTATAAATTAAGTTGCACTGTGAGATGGCCATAAAAGGGGTAATTAATTTAAAATTCTTAGACTTGTAGCCTAAGCATTCTGTGATCTTTATTGACTAAAATATAACTCCACACAAAAACAAATTTTTAATAGCTTTTTTGATTCCAATTCTTTACGAAGTGAGTCTCCTTTGAAACGTGTTAGACAAAGGCAGGAAAAGAGCTTTAATAACAGTACAGCTTCCCTACATTTTGGTTTCTATTATTGTTTCCTCCTCCAAAATAATCATTTTACTTTGCAATCCTAAGAGAAAAGATAATCAGGCAATAATGCATGCCCGAAACGTTAGGATCAATGTTTCTCAAAGTAAAATCCAAAACACATGTATGAGAATCCCCTGATGCCCCACCCAGAGCTATCAAAAGTCACAATCTCTGAGGGTAGGGCCCCAGAAGCTGCATTTTTTAACAAGTTCCTCTGCTGATTAGTACGTACCTAAAGAAGGAATTCCATTGTTTTAGAAATTTCTATACACTAGCAAATATGTTCTGACTCTAGTCTTGCTCTATCAGAATGAATTACACCTGTCTCAGGAAGCGTGCCTATTCCACCCTCTAGTGGCTAGCATGACAAACAGAAGGCTTAGTCTCCAGGGTTTTTTTTTTATTCAAGAGAAAAGCTCAATAAAAACTACTATTTTATAGGTGGGAAGTTTCCCAGTTTTATAACTGTAGCAAAGCATAGATGCCTGAATAATTAACTGAGCAGTAGCAGGCTGTCTGACACCTACAAGCTCTGTTTCTCCCTCAGATCCCAGGCCCTCAACATAAACCCTACAGCATTTCTTGGGAATGGTCCAGAACACACATTAAAGAGAGCAGTTTGGATGAGCCAAAACAAAGGACTCCATTCACCTTGGGCCACAGTGAAGCAAATGCAAGAACAAGGAAGATAAGCGGTTCAATAAAATCCCCAAACCTTAAACCCCCTTAAAATTCATTTTCATTTCCTTTCCAACAGATGGATCCTTCCACTGTGCAGTCAAATATGTCAGAGCAGGCAGCCCCCAAAGGCAACACTGTAGGGTAAGGAATCCTTAGGGAGTCCAGCAAGTTAACTGGCCAACACACTCCTAAGTACTTTATAATTTGATAATGAATTAACACTGTTCATATGGCAACACATACAAATCTGTCAATATTCTATCAGGACACCAGGTTTTACAACACTTAGAATGGTGCCATAAAAATGTAATCTGGGCTAACCTTTAGCACTGCAGTCAACAATCCTAGAGATAATCCTCTTGTGGCCTCAATTTAAATTTTCACTTATTTTTTCACAAAATTATTGGTCAAGAGAAAAGTTATCTAATTATTTGAGATAATTTTTTGAAAGCCTGAAATTAGTTTTATTTTAGTGAGTTCCTTTTTCCTGCATAGCCAAATGGTTCTGTATGATATTTTTGTAAGGTTACCTGAAAGAGACCTTTTTTTTTTTTGCCTATTAGTTTAGTTTTGCTTTTTTAAAGGTTAGTCATCTTTGGATAACCAACAATAGGCCCTACAGACCTACAAAGGCTGTCTCACTCTCTGCCATTCTTCAGGTCCCTGGAAGGGTGGAGTGGGTTTACTAACTTACATAGCACTCCTGTCTCTGTGACATGCACAGTGTCTCAGCATGCAGTGTCTTCTCTTCAAAAAACATGGACACAACTGATCAATCCACTGATCATGACAAACTGAACTGGGCGGCTATTAAGGAGACAAAAGATTCACTGTCCTTCAAGAGCTTCTGTCTGGTATGTAGAGATGAGAATCTTGAATCTGACTAAATATAAGCCTCAAAACAAATTTAAAAACCTGCACTGAAGAGTTTCATTGCATAAGGCTTGTTTCCACTAACTTGACAGATTGGCCCAGAGCATGTGCATATTTGAACATTTATATTTGTATTAATACCTTGTACCTTTGTCTCTTTCAAAGATGCCATACTATAAACCAGTGTTTTTAGATGAGCTCTCCATTTCTCACATGCCTTTGGGAGAAATAAACAAGAGATCTAGACAACCAACCAACTTTGCCTTAATGGGGGAAAAATGGGTTTCACCAGGATTCCCAAGGACTTAAGAAATAACCCTTTACTGTTTAGACCTTTCAAAG